ACTACAGTATAAAACACAACGCTATGATGATTATGAAGAATTAAAGTCAGGGCTTTAGCTAAAGCCGTTATTGTTTATATAACTATTTTATTTACTTGCCAATATTCTTAATCAAAGCATAAGTATTTAGCAATTATTATTCTTGGTTACGATATAAATATAACTATATTGATTGAAATGTACAATTAACATAATAATATAAACTTCCTATCATCACAACAACGTATTTCTATAATTACGATGGTGCAAATGTATTAAAGAAAGAGTGATGAGTTTTCTCTACGAGAGCCTATCTCGCGGCAGTAATGATTAAAGAATGTATGTATTTGAAGATTTCCAATTACCCCGTGTAATAAAAAATAGCATCTATTGGATGAATTTCGACCCAATTATTTTGCTGTTGATGGATATAAAAATATTGTTTAAATTTTTTACTTGAGATCTTCTTGTAACCTAATAACCAATAATAACCAGAATTGCGGCCCACCGAGGGATTGTATGAGAGACGCGAGCTTATTTTTGTCAAATAAAATTTCCTCGCTAGGAGGTATATTATACTAAGCGCAGTTTGAATACTTTTGTCCGAAATCTCACTTATTAATCTTTTACACCTAGTTTCTATACATTCCGCTCGTATTCCGCATACAATTTACAGGGTTTGCTCATGCAATTTGTGAGAAGGTGATTCATTACCAACAATATAGGATATTTTTGTGAAAAGATTAGCGGGTTTTAATTCCGTTGGGTTATTACGAGTTCAGTCTATGATTTTTTGTAATCCAGATTGTAGTAATTCCCTTTGACACAAGAGCGCGTGGGTAGTCGCAGCCATTATTTCCTCTGTTGAGGCCAAGAAATCTTTTTCTTTGTTAAGACAAAATATTTCGTCGTTAATTTTCAGGTTACAAAAGTCTCCAGGCGCCAGCATGTCTACCAGGGCTTTTTTGGATCTAATATGTTGCCACGTGGGAGTATTAAAATGTTGGAGTTTTATAAGCCTAATATATTTTTATATATTTATTTTGTAATTTTTTTTTCCATCGGCCTTCTTAATAATCTTTTTATCATCAATATTTGTGATACCTACCCCCAAGTGCAGAGATTTCGATTTTCCGGTCGACGGATTAATAAAAAATCGCTATAGTATTTGGTCGTAGAAAAGTATTTAGAAAGTAATTATGTTACGCATGTATTAATTAATGAGTATTATTGTAAGATAGAAACAGCAATAAAGGCTATTTTATTTTATTTTATTTATTATAGTATTTGGTCGGTCGGTGGGTACCCTCGTCATTGGACGCACTGGCGTTGACATTTGGTACATATTGTTGATGCATTATAAAATTTGTGAGGAAACTCACCTGATTATATAACGCGTCGATCATGGGATCGACCGTTACCTGAGCTACTCGTTTCCTTTTATTTCGTGGCGGTCCCTCGCGCTCCGAGTCGCTATCAGACGCGCTGCTGGTGCACGTGGAGTCCTCTTTGTCTTGTTCGTAACCTTGCTCGACACTTTTTTAGACTACCTGCCTGATCGGCCCCGGCGGCGGCCTTATCGGCATCGTGAGTCCATTACGCACTTGTAATGTATAAATAATGCATTTTGCTAATAATTAACACTAAGAAAGACTGAGGTTTTAAGTCGTTATTGAGTCGTTTCGGTTTCGACACTTTTTTAGACTACCTGCCTGATCGGCCCCGGCGGCGGCCTTATCGGCATCGTGAGTCCATTACGCACTTGTAATGTATAAATAATGCATTTTGCTAATAATTAACACTAAGAAAGACTAAGGTTTTAAGTCTTTATTGAGTCGTTTCGGTTTCGACACTTTTTTAGACTACCTGCCTGATCGGCCCCGGCGGCGGCCTTATCGGCATCGTGAGTCCATTACGCACTTGTAATGTATAAATAATGCATTTTGCTAATAATTAACACCAAGAAAGACTAAGGTTTTAAGTCGTTATTGAGTCGTTTCGGTTTCGACACTTTTTTAGACTACCTGCCTGATCGGCCCCGGCGGCGGCCTTATCGGCATCGTGAGTCCATTACGCACTTGTAATGTATAAATAATGCATTTTGCTAATAATTAACACTAAAAAAGACTAAGGTTTTAAGTCGTTATTGAGTCGTTTCGGTTTCGACCGCACGCGGCGAAAGTACACAACGCTATGACTGTGGAAATGACAACGTCCTAGCTGGTTAAGATAAGTATGAAGTTGAGGCGATTACAGCGCCATCTATTCTATCTAAGCGGAACTACTTCACTCGGTATGTATCGCACTTCATGGCTAAGTATACATTGCTTCTTCAGTATACAATGCTGTGTTTTTCGGAGGCACATCAATGTATTATATTTTGGCTTACGCGAATCGTAGTTCGCGCTGAGGGCTCCCACACAAAACGATGCGATGCAATGCGAATTCGCATCGCAAGTTCCTGCTATTTTTGCGATACGATTTAGTGCGTCAAACCGTTTGGTAGGGCGACCATTCCTTCGAAGTCAGCCGTACTGAACGTGTTTTAAGAAGTGTAAGATGGATCGCAAAAAGATTATTGCACTGCTGTTATTGTTAAATAGATATAAAAGAAAAAGAAGATTCTGGGTTCATCCATTCATTACGATTATGAACTCTGATGGGAACTATTTTATTCAAAAGTACTATGCGTTGAGAACTGAAGAAGATAAATTTTTTGATTATTTTAGAATAAGCATATCTTCATTTGAAGAGCTTTTGAGTATATTATCACCATGCCTACAAAAACGATCGTACAAAGGAAGAATTCCTGTTATGCCTTTGGAAATGCTGGGACTGACTATCAGGTAAAGTAAAACAAAATTTATTTATTGACATTTTAATTGTTTTTTTTTTGCGAAAAATTAAATTTGTGATTATCAGCAGTTAATAGTAATTAATATTATGTAAAATCAAACTCTTCTTCCGTCGACAAAGCGCTATGAGTAGAATAATTATCAGTAGGTGAAATAATTTGATCTTCCCTACGTTTGACGAGTTCGTGTGATAAATGTAGAATTGGTGTTTGGTCTGCATTTGATGATTGTTCGTGTGATAAATGTTTGGTTTGCAAAATGTTGAGTTTGATAGCCTGTGTAGCTCTGGTAGTTGCTAGGCTGATAGGAGGATCTATAAGGTGGGTAGCATATATATATATTATTTACTTATATAATTATGTAAAATAATTGTAAATTTATAATAAAACATAACTTCAAATCCGTTAAAAAGTGTTTTTCTAAATCAAAATAGGTCAGAAACACGACATTAGTCGATGCTCATTATTTACCTTGTCGTACTGTACACTTTATTGCACTGAATTACATTTATTCATAGAAGTACGAATAGCGCGCCAGATTCTGGAAGCCCTCTTACACGCGCGCACGCTATTTAATTCATACTTATATGCATTGATTGTATTGTTGTAGAAATAAAAGTCCTTACCAAGTTTAGTTTTTTCACTGTTTTCTTTGTCTTGGAAATTTGGAAACAAACTTTCACAGACGTTCTTCCACGCATCTTGCTTAATAAATTTATTTTTATAATGTTAATCACTTGTGTCCCAAAGGACGGGACGCTCCTCAATTAAAGATATTAAAAAATCTGTATCATATTCCGCCATTTTTCTCTAAAGCTGTCTCAGAGCGGACTAAAATGGTGTCACCAAGGATGACGTAAAATCGCAGGAATGTGCGATGCGAAGCAGATCGGAAATTCTTGCGTTGCGTTCCTGCGAATTCGCAGATATTTGCGATGCGATGCGAATTCGCAGTTTTGTGTGGGAGCCTTAAGTCTCGTTTCGAAAATTCTGGCTCTGCTACCCAAAATGTGTTGGCATTTTGATTGCAATGATAATAAAACAAATTTTCGAATGTAAATTTTATTCATGAAATTACAAATGACTAGAGTATCATCTACAACTACTTACATGCTAATAATAAATTCTTTTTAATAACTAATATATTATAAGCTAGGCTTATTTTTTAAGTGAACTTAATCCACGATCCGCGGAAAAGCCATTTATCGAGTGAAGTTTCAAACTCTGCTACATATCAAACGTCAAATAATGCGTAATTTCTGTCCCACAGATTACGTAGCTAAGCCTATCTCCCGTACATGAAAAATGTATTGGATTTTGACAACCAAGAGTCATAGCCCGCGCTATAGTTTGACCCTGAATCTTACCCTTAGAACTTGGTTCTTTGCCCGGAAATTTTTGATTATGTCTTAAGTTCAATTTAAGGATCACATAACAGTGGATATTAAAACGCCTTTAAACGTCACATTAATCTAAATAACGATGTAATTATTTATTAATTAAATCTTAAAGATTTCTATATTCGAACTTTGTCTCTGTTGTTAGATTGAAAACGGTATATTATGCGTCCATACTCTATAACATATTTAACACTTTTTTGAGAATAAAATATACATAAAGAAATAAGGCGAATGTTGTACTACCGTGCAAATAAATCATTATCTCCTCTAGCAACACTTATTTAAATAATTAATTATAATATCACAATTGCTTCTCTACATGATTTTACTATAAGCCGTTTCATATCAACAATGCAAAAAATATAGGAATTATTAACAAAAGCTTAGCAGTATAAGAGTCCATAAGACGTAGATTCATTAAGCGATGAAACCACTATAACAGCTCTTAAACTGAGAGACTAAACTAAAATAAAAAATGGAATGTTCTAGAAAAATCTAGTATTCCAAGTCTTGAAGCCGACTCCAACATCCTTCATCCAACAAGTTATTATTTTTATAATTTAACAATTTAAAATCACAAAAAAACATAACGTCATATAATTTTATTGCAAAGTAATCAAACAAGATGCACATAGACCTATCTCCAGATACACTTTAAAACATTTTACGAAATTCGTAAACACAACTTCCGATTATTTTACCTTTGACTTCGGTAAATCACCGTCGGCTTCAACAAGCTGATTGACAGGAAGCCTGTCAATTGTCTGTCAATTCGCCTGACTGATGCCCATTAACTGAGCTCTATGCTCAACAAAATCGAATACCCTCTGTGCAACAGTTCGTTTTCTTACCAACATGGCGGCGGCTTGTTCGAATTTGTGCTGGTTCCTGCGAATGTATGCGTTCGTATCTGTTATCATGTTTTTCAGTTTTTCCGGGTTGATTTCGTCCATCGCGCATTCCTCGTGAAGCGGTGGGTTGAATCGGCGAAGGAAAAATTACGTAAATTCAACTAAGTCAAAATATTATTAAAACCAGTCATGTTAATTAACAGGTATGTCAAAACTTATCTCAGAAATCCTCCGCTTTATAAAAATAATATGCCTTCAAAGTTCTAACGTCCCTTTTGAATGCATTTATTTAATGAATATTGACGCGGAGTTAAGTTCGGTGGCGGTAATTGGAGGAAAGTTCAAATGTATGTTAAATGAAACTTTTTGTTTGAATCCGGGTGTCAACTGGATTAGTCGTTTAAAACTTGAGCTTGTAACTAACATAAAATAAGGGGTAGTGGGGTTGCGGGTAGGCTAACAAAAAACTGCTTTGGCTTATTTTTAAACCTAAGTGGGACTTCAATATAAGTGTAGACGACCTATTGGGCATTATCGGTTCGATAATTTATGGGTGTATGAAAAACATTTGGTTTACGCTTCTAATTATCAACTAAAATATATTTATGTATATGTACCTTAACTAATGTTAGGTTACATAAAATTAATAACATAGCAATAGAACCAACTGGTGGGCCAAGAAAACCACAGTCCATGAAGAACATTTGTAAATGCGTTGTCGATCTTTATAAATATTGCACAAGAAATGCGTAAGAATTTTGTGCCTACCTTCAGTATCCGTCGCCGAGTCAAGAATTTTATTAAATTTATTCTTCCAACTTGTTCCAGACGTGTCCTTTGCTAAGCCCTTACTAAGGAGTTGATAATCCAAATGTTTGTTTAATGCCTGGCCTGTCCCCACGGATATTACTGTACCATTTTTCATAGCATTTGCACCGAATAATAGTTTGGCTTCATGTAGGCCGTAGTAGGCCCACTGCTGTTGGATTGTTCACCATGATCCCTCCATCCTGTCAGCGATGTTATAATTTAAATACGCTATTAAATATATATATACTACATACTATAGTTATTTTTTATAGTTTGATTAAAAAAATAATGATAAAACGTTCTTTATATGTGTATATTTGCAACTAAAGGAAAATGTTGACCAATTGAGTTACGAACAAAAGGTTAGAAACGATGATAATATTAATTTATCCCTAATGGGAAAGGCAAAGGACTTTGGTCCATACAGCCAAGGGTAAGAAACGTTTACTTTTGACATACGGCAGTCAAAGTTCGCGCCAAATTACGACGCTGACGCTGTCAAACTAACCTGTAGGAATGTTGGCATATTTGACGGCCTTCAAGATGGCGAGATACGAAGTAGAAAATGGACCTTTTAGTAAGTCACTTTCAGCCAGTCAGTATTTTTATGGTTATTTATACTGAATTATTAAAGATTACCTGATGCAATAATCCATCTAAGTTGAATTCAGTGAAATAAGTGGGTGCGGCGGCAGATGCTCTCACAGCCTGCCAGAGTTGAGCCCGACTCGTTCCAGGAAATACGGATCGTACGCGGAACCCGCACTCGTACGTACGGAATAGGAACGGGGCGAGACGGGAACCGGAGTTCACTACGCACGATACCACTGACATCTAGGAGAGATGTTTCAACGTTATTCAATAAATCAGACTACACTATTTTACTAATTTATATATTGTATCTTTCATATCAATATACTTAAACAGAAAGATGTTTATTATGGTAAACTAAAGATAAAATATATTTTTATTAGGAATTGTCGTTAGAGAAATCAAATTTTAATGAATCCATAGTGAAACCCCTATAAACTTTAATAAGTGATAGGTGGCTTAGTATGATTATTATGTGTAGGAAGGATGGTGTAATGTTCCTCCAACCTAAAGGGAGGATCCTCGACCAGTTTAACCACGACTGGGCGGCCCATAGGCCCCAGTGTCTAAGGTCTCTTAAGTTCTATATATCTTAAGCGCATATGTAGTATGACGTTATAGGGTTCGCGTTGTTGTACGAGGAGGACGCCACAACGTCATCGAAGTGATTTGTAAGCATAGAATGTAGGTGTCGCTACATTATATTCATACATTTTATTTTTTAATCATTTGTGGAAATGAGAAAAATAATAATGGTTCACAAGATTCCAATATAATGCTATGCAGATATAATAGTAAGATAATTTACATTAATTTGTCGAACCGCGTGACTTGACCATTACAAATTAAAACAAGCTGTTTAATAGTAATAGTAGGTAAAGCTACAGGTACAGGTATTTGATAAAATAATTATAATAAAAAAGCATAGATATAAACTGGTTTCAATGGCCGACAAATAAGTTGTGTGAAAAATGTTTTAGCAAAATATAATAACTCACTTTAGGCATATTATAACGGTTGCATTCAGTAAGAGTGATGCCTTTTAAATTATCCTGTAACATTTTCTCCCACGCCTCTGTGTCGTAGTACGAGTGGGTCCATACTAATCTTGACGTACCTATTAATTATACGTTGAAAATGATTCATACATTCATTCATTAAACTTAAAAAAATAAGAGCAATTTACATAAATTAAACCGACTTCAAATATCTGTCAACATTATTTACTTCACAGACACTAATCTTAGAAATGACTAACCTATTTTGATGAAGGTTGGACTGTTCCCAAGTTGGAACACCTGATTAGAATCAAAGAGAAAGAGAAATTTGTAACACATAGTCAAATATTATCAATAATTAAGTTAGATTTTGTTGAAACTAAAAAAACTACTACAATTTAAATATTTTATATAGCGGTTTTAAGAGTACTTTTTATTCAAATGTGTAGTACTCGCACAAAACAAAAATATTTACAATTCCTATAAGTTTACATCAAGTAGACCATGAATCGCAATTAATTAAAACATGTCTTACCGCCAATAAGTGATGTGTTTCCAAACATTTGTTTAGACAGAGTGACGTACATTTGATTGGCAGTCTCTAAGGTGCCTGCTCCACTTGCTGGAACATATATAATTGTATATTAATAATGCTTCAGTGGCGCTACAACCCTCAATGGGTCTTGGACTTAGATCCTCAACGCATGCACCATTCCTATCATGATTTTTATTTTTAGAAGTAGACGTGTAATTTGATAATACCGTTCCAATATCGCACATAGGAATAGTGATATGATTCGCCCATTTAGCACTCGCAAATGTCGTGAAGCAAATCGTCGTAAGGAAGAGGGGCATTATAACCACTTCGGGGGGCTCTAGGGTGAAAGACAAAATGGTCACGCTTTATCACGAGACCATTTTCATACACATTCGTTTGGCGTTAGTTGGTCACGACTGACGAAAACTGATTTTGTCTTAAACTCCTGGTTTATATCTTCTGATTTTAGCAGTTTTTAAAGTTATCTGGTATACGCGTCTACAGTAGAGACATACATAATCTATTCCCTTGATTAGGTTATCTTGCCAAATAAATGGCCCCAAATATAACACGTACAAGACAAATTGGCAAGTACGCTCGAACTTTCACTTTATGATAAGTATTTATGAATCTAGAACACAAAATCTAATCTAGTATTTTTGTTATCGTAATTTTTTTTTTCGTTACTATTTGGCATTTTACTATACTCAATAAATAATTAGCTATTTTTTTATACTAACCACCTATGGCTAATCAACTAACTATTTAAGTTCTAACTCGAGAAAATAACTTTTATTGAGACCGAACGCTCGGTCCAGAAACCCTTTCACAAAATGTTAAGTGAATATTTGTGTTACTAACAAAGTAATTGAGTGAGCAAAATAAATAAGGCTGGCCACTGAATTATAGGAACGATCTGTATTAAATATCCCAACCCCTAAAAACCGAGGTTGGGACACATATTATGCAATCAAAAGTCTATCATTTAATATGTAACTTGTCGATACAACTTTTCAGGTTTGGACCTCGGACCTATTGTATGGGTTTTATGTTTATTTTATTGGTGTCTTAAATATGACAATTATGTTTAAGACTTACCTATAACTGCGGCAATGATAGCTCCTGTGCTAACTCCAACAATATAATCAAATAGTTCGTGAACTTTTTTCCCAGTCAATATTTCTAGATGCCGCAATATCTCAATCGCGATAATTCCTCGAATACCACCGCCATCTATTGACAATACATTGGGACCACGGCTCTTTGTCGGGCCTGTGTACCCCATCAGAGCTAAAGCCTGGAAATTAAATTAATTTACATTATTACTTTTTTTTTTTGACTAAGTTTAATTTTTCTGTTGTTTTTACCAAATTAATTTTTAAAAGTATAAATTATAATAAAAAACTAACCTCATTAACAATTCCTTTGACGTCATCACCAAAAGACTAGTCACTAGACTTCAGCTTGTGTTGTACTCTTAATAATGCTCTTACTGCGCCTTCCTTGAAACCAAAAATTTTATAAATTAGTTACAATAATAGTATGAATTTAAAATATAAGATATGACAATATGCTACAATTAAAAATATACACACATTTTTAAACATAAAGATTTTATGTTTTAATGTATATTAATTAAAAACTAGTAATATTTAAAAATATTTTAAATGATTGAAAAAGGTGTTTTGTGGAAGTATTTCAATGGTATATATTACTACACCAAGGAATCCTTGGCAAGGCTACTTCCGCGTATATTTACATACATTTCATGCAGAGTTTTGAAGTTGGTTAAAAATTGTGAGTATTTGAAAAAATTCAGCGTGCGACTCAGTTTCGTACGTCAAGGAAAGTACCGTGAAGAAAACGGCAAGCCTGGGACCAAAAACTCGACGGCGTGTGTTAAATTCTATGTGCCTATTAGAAAAGACAAATGATCACGAAATAGATTCACAGACCTAGACCTAACAGAATTGTAGCACCACTGTTTTTTTTTTAATATAACAATAGAGTCAATAATTACTATTCTACCTTTATAGCGTAATCCCTAGCTTCAGGGTATTGTTGCAAATGCTCGATAAAATGTTCAGTCCGTTTAAGAAGGCATTCTGAAGTTTCCGCTGTCACTAAGGCGGATATTACGTACGATGTTCGCGAGTGGATTGAAGTCTGAAAAAAATTATATGAAATTATTATAATTTTTGTTTGTTACATTCAAAAGTAAAAAAAATTTGTATACATATAAAATCTTTTAAAATTAGCCAATAAATAATAATATAGTAAAATGCACGGTCAATCAAAACTTATAAAACTATTTTAGCAATAACTCTACGCTGTCTATATAAAAAAACAAGTCGTAATTGTTACGAAATTACGAGTTTTTAGTAGAAAAGCGTAAATATTAATGGAGCTCTACTCAATAGAATTATATTTATCCTCTCAATATTACATATTTATAACCAGCATACGTGCTGTGTAATAAATGGATATCTTTTATAAATTAATAAAAAATTAAAAACTAAAATTTATCACGTAACAGATTTTTTGACTACAATTAAATTTAGCCAATAACTAAAGAGCGCGTCCGATGATTTAAAAAAAATTGCGAACAGGTAACTATTAAAGCAAAAGCGTAGAATGGCGCTCTGTTTATTTGTGCGCGTGAATTACAATCTTCAAAACGCCTCAAGGTCGACTTCTTTACTGTTCTTTACTCCATTCTTTCTGGTCGATCGAATCGAGGGCCTATATGACCTGTAATTTATGGGAAGGTAATTACAGTCAAAATCTGTTATAGCGACATCGAAGGGTTTACTCATATTTGGTCGTAAAAACCGATAGTAGTAACAGCCGATGACGTTGTTATTAAGTACCTAATACAATAGAATTCAGCCGGGACCTTTGATTTTGGTCAATATAACCGGTATGTTGTTTTAAACGATGTCGTCGTAAACGGTTTTGACTGTCATAACGTTTCGTTACACATTACGTTGTTTGATGTCCCGTAACTTTTTAAGGCTTAGCTTTTGTACGAAGCAATTAATATTTCACTGGACCTGTTAACCAAATAGGGAGGCAAAAGCCGACAAAAGAAACGAGAATAAACGAATAAACGTTACGTACGCATAGGAATTTTAAGTCAAGTAAGTATTATGTAACTTATACACTTTATATTTAAAAGAATTTTTTAATGAATTGGTAAAAAAAATATCTATAAGGTGTGAAAATATCTGTAAGTGTCATAGGCCAGTCATTATAGACATTCGAAATCGAAAATTTGATAATAATTCCAAAAGTTTTCAAACTTCGGTCAAGTGAATGGTACATTGGGACGACAATAAATCTCATTTTGCAACCTTGTCCGCAGTCCGGAACATTGTTAAAATTGCAATTAAATTAATTTTTGCTGTATGGTCGTGAAAAAAATTCCAAAAGTTCTGCAAACTTGGGGAAGTTTTCGATATAATATTTCATATCACGTATAAAATTTACAACCAACCTAAGTGTACGGAACATTTTTTGTTATTTATTTTATTTTCGATATATCTGTCAAATTTGCAGAACTTTTGGAACGTTTTCCTTCAGTTTAATAAAGAAAAACATTAATTTTTAATAACAAAAAATGTTCCGTACACTTAGGTTGGTTGCAAATTTTATACGTGATATGAAATATTATATCAAAAACTTCCCCAAGTTTGCAGAACTTTTGGAATTTTTTTCACGACCAAAACTTATTTTTAACAATGTTCCGGACCGCAGAGCAGGTTGCAAAATTTTATAGTTTGTTTTAATACCACTCCCGACCTTACATCAAAATTTGAAAACTTTTGGAATTATTATGAATTAATTGTCTTAACTGACTGATCTATCATGTGTAAACGCTAAATCCTAGACCATAGAGTCTGAAACACATCCATAATATTGTTTAAATCGCTGATAGTTATATGTCCCGCCTGTGTTGTGTTTTCTTATCTGATAGTAAACGGAAGGACGGTATCCTTCCGTTTACTACGGGTAATTGATAAGCATAGATACTAAACAAAATCATACCAATTAGAGTCTGTGCGGAAAGAGAACTGGTGGATTTGATTTTTTTTGTTAGGGAGTGTTCAAGTATTACGTCACGCAATTTTTGGAGATTATTGACCCCCCCCTGTAACGCACCGTAACGTTTTTCTGTACCTCAGTATAGTAAAACGTTTCATGACCACCCAGTGACTCTGTATACCAATATATGGTGTAAAGTACTGGAAAGTCGAAAATAATATTAACAATATTAAATTACGCGTTAATTTAATCCCCGCCCCGTATCGTAACGTTTTAAAAAAAGACCCCCCAAATTCGTTACGAAATACTTGAACGCTCCCTTATGTACGTAACATTTACTTCATTATTATTCATCAGTAATCATAACTAGTAAATATGAAAAAAAATTAAGCAAATAAGAATTATATAAGTTCGCGTCACCGCAGACAGCAAAATGTTTATTCACAATTGTTAGATGTTCAGTATTCCCATACAGTGTAAGCCGATAAGCTTAAACTTACCAATAATTAAAGCGTCCTCTTCTACATTTTTCTCATTAATAATCCCCTGATTGTACCGATTCCCATCATTGATACACTCTGTGTATCCACTAACGTAGACCATTGCACTTAATTTAATTTCATCATAACTATAACAGGTCTCTAACTCTAGCGGTGGCTTTTGCTGCAGTGTACCTACTTGTTCCCAACCACCGTTTCTGTAATAATTTAATATGAAAAAATCACTTCTTTTATCTGTGAAAGGTGTAGAGCTTGAACATAAATATTAGATTTACAAATAGGCGATGGCGAGAATCATACACATGTCAAATTCGTTTTTGTCAATTCATCTTAGGCCCGTATTCAAGAATGCCAATCGAACTTAAATGTAGTTTCAATAGCAAAAAAATTGAATATGGACCTAACATCAGGTATAACATGACCTTAAAGTGGACCCATCAAAAAAGCAGTCTGACCACAAATACAACATTACACTAGTAATCTTACCCAGTCTCTCCCGTCAACAGTTTATATGTGTCCTTTTTAGTCATAAATGTAACGGCGCGCTTCTTTAACAGTCTATCAATAAACTCAGGCACTGTCATATTACAATACAATGTTTTTTCTATAGAAGATCCAAATTCCCTGGAAAATTCATAATAACTTTTATTATTATTTTCTAATTACTAGTATCATAAATAGATAACTGCATTTTAAATTGCGAAGCATAAATTAGAGTAACTCTAATTTGCTCTATCTCGTAATAAAATCTAAGAAATCATTGATTCAGTATGTAAGGCATATAGTCATGAGCATTTAATTTATTTCATATGTATTTTATCAATATTTATACAACAAATGGAATGGTATGATATAACTAAAGTGCTATATGGTACCTCTTATAGATAAGAAAATGAGTGATCAATAACAGAACTCATTCGTGAATTATTGGATATGTTGACACAATGTTTCTTTTTAACCTTTCAATTGGTTTTCTTTCCCTCAATGGTTCTAATCTGAAAAATGAGGTTTAATAGGTATAAGTCCCATGAACAGTCTCAATCAGATTTAGTTGTAAATTAAAAACAATCATCAAAATTTTACTTTTTACAAACACACTGCTTTAATGTAGTTCTAATTTTATGAGTATAAGAAGGTTAGTGTTAGAGACACATAAATTAAATTGAATTTCAATTGATCCTTTCATTTTGGGTTAAATGTCAGTAACAGATATTTTAATAATAGATTCTTAATTATATGTAATTGATTGTAATAATTCTAATTAAGAGTAATTTATAATTTGTTCCATTCACCTTTTCTATAAGAAAATGAATTTTCTAACTTACCTGGTTTTATTAACGGGAAATGGAATAGGAAATGTCTGGCTTTTCTGTATTATTTGATCGACATCATCATTTACTTTTATTTGAGGCAAATCAATGCACTGTTTGAGTAAATCATTCATCTCTTTACCCATACTTGGATAGCACCAGTCTGGTTTGCACCAGAAATAAAATAAAGAGATAAAATAAAAGATGCAAATTGCAAATTAGTGTAATTAATAACTATAAATACTTTTTAATAATAACGGATTCTTTAAGTCTGATAAAGAGTCTAAGTAATGTTTCTGTAAAATATAAAACCAACTATATTTTGTATATTATAAAAGACCTATTGTTTAAATATCATCTTAAGAATGTAAATATATATTTTATGTGGGTGCCTTCACTTATAGGCATAACCGGCAATGAAAAAGCTGACAAAGCTGCATGTGAGGCTATAAACATTTTTTTTTTTTTTTTGGGATTTTATGACCTGGCATGTACAACCTTTAGGTCAACTCTTAATTTTCATAGACGTAATGTTACGCCTATGAGCACATTCCATTAAATAGGCTATAAACAGTATTGACGTTACAGACTCAGTATCCGTTCCTTTTACTGATTATTTTCTAAATATTAAGGAAAACATTTACACTCTGTGGACAGAAATGTGGAAGAAAGACCAGGAAAACAAGGGAAAGTGGTATGGAAGTATCCAAGATAACATACCTGTTAAACCTTGGTATGACAAATTGAAATCTAGTGAAAGTAGAGATTTCATTACAACAATAAACAGATTGAGATTTGGTCATAATATTGCGCCGTCACACCTAGCAAGACTTGGGATTGTTTCAAACAATCAATGTAATCATTGTCAAGCAGAAGAAGGAACGATCCACCACATTATTTTTGATTGCCAAAGTATTCTCATTCAAAGACTTGTGCTGGCTAGTGAACTTAGTGTTACCAATGCATATAAGTGTGTTTCTTCCTCCCGCCCGCCGCTCCTCAACGTTTTACTAAAAGATCCAACATCCTATAAACCTATTTATAATTACTTAAAAAATACAATTCAAACAATTTAAGTGATGAAATTTAGTGAAGTGAAGTTAGTGTCGCCAAATTATATGAACATACATATTCCAAATAAGTCATGACTTAAAGGTCTTTGTTACCAGGTCATAAAATTAAAAAAAAAAAAAAAAATAGATTTACGAAAATCGAAATATTTGTGTTTTTGATAGCCTTATTTATTTTGGTTTTCAATTATTAGTATTAAATTAAACATGAGTTCCTTAAATTTCTTCCTGTTCTAGTTCTGATTTGATCATGATTATTTTAGACTTTAACGAATGGAAATCCTGGTTCTACCACAAATAACCAACGAAGCAATGAGCACTAAAAAAAGACAAGTGGGAGGCTTTGGCCACAGTAAAATCATTTGATTTAGGTAAATAACAATAATAAATAAATTTAATGAAGTTCAATTGTCACTCGTTTACATAATTATGTTCATTTTTATCCTACGCAACCTTGAGGTTATCAACCGAAGAACCTTCCTAGGTAACTAACAAGTGGCAGTAGCTTTTTTCAATTCATGTTGTGATTCTTATGTAATATTACCATTATTTATTGTGTATACTGTATCATTTTATATACCCATTTTAATATTTACTATTAAGCATAAAACAAACCAAAAGTATTACTAGAAATTAAAATAAGGTTTTAATTCCTAGTAATACTACTTATATTTATCTCATAACCAAACTATTTGTTTTTGAATAGTTACTATGTGTATTATTTGAGTTATGATTCATAAAAATTAAATATCAGAAAGTAATATTATTATATGTTTATTATTTATCCCTAAAACCACAGATAACTTATATACATGTATTCTAGAATATTCCAATGATATGAATTATTTTAATAAGGATATTGTGCTGATATCTTATGTAACATTTTAAAAAAGAATTACATAATTTTTGTACATATCCATTAATATTTTAATGATGACTAATATTATTGTGATATCAAATTTTATATAAAAATGTAGAATTTATATAAATCTGTAATGTGTAGCATGTAAACCAATGTAGTATACCATTCTATGTTTTGTTGTTATTTCAGGTGTATCTCTGAACAGCGATCATGAATCTTTACATCAGAGTATGCAACAAATAGATTTAGTCAACTCTCCAGCCACTACACCAATAAGTCTTCTAGTCCAATCTCTTGTCAAGCAACTTTGTTCATTACTAGAAAAAGACATGTCTAAGGCAAACCATCTCTACAACACTATTTGTGAGAAATTACATAGCATGAAACTCATAGATGATTCATATGCTATGGGAGAATTTGAAGCTATGAGGAGCCAGTATCAGCGAGCTCTTTACCAACTGGTATCAATAGCAAGTGGTTCTGAAATACCTCTAACTTTACCAGCTACATGGCCTATTACAAGATCTGGTCTAGAATGGTCCCGATATCACAAAGAATTTGAAGAACTCTACTTTATTGCTAGAGGTGGTTTTGGTACTGTATTTAAAGCACGCCACAGATTGGACGGAGTTGAATATGCTGTTAAGAAAGTATTCATCAAGTCTTCAGATGTTGATTCCATTATGTCTCATCTTGCTGAAGTTAAAACTGTAGCTAGTCTTAACCATCCAAATATAGTTAATTACAAAGCAGCCTGGTTGGAACCTTTAATAGAATCAACTGTCAAAAAGAAACACAAATACTTCATGGATACAGACAGTGATGAATCAATAAATTCAAACCGTGTTTCATCAGTATACTCAAATTTAATGAAGTCATTTAAAACATACAATTCAAAAGAACTAACAAACAAACATAGCCAGTCAGATTTTGTTATATCTTTTGAAAACTCAAACGGTTTTGAAGAAGATGCTTCAGAAGAAGAGAGTGAGAGTGAAGAGGAATCATCTACACCTGATAAAAATGTTATATGCAAATTATTGTCTTGCAAGGAGTATGAAAATTGTACACGGGTCAATCTAAAGTGGGCAACACTATATATTCAGATGACTTTTTGTCAGCAGACTTTAAAACAGTGGTTGGATGAGCGAAATAGTCATTTGATTTTATCCAGGAAGAACTCTGATGATTTGTGCCTTCATCATGCAGATTCAATTGATTGCAGAAGTTATGAAGGTCACCTAACTCCAGACAAAACATACCCAGTAGCTTGCACAAAGCTCGACATCTTAGTGGAAATGTTTACTCAGCTTGTGAGAGGACTACATTACATACATTCTCGAGGGATTATCCATCATGACATTAAGCCAAGCAATGTGTTTGTGGGTCAAAGTGAAAGTGGCTTACAGGTGCAGTTGGGAGATTTTGGCTTAGCTTGTCCTCTTCAACAATCACACAGTGGCTTAGCATTAGGAACTCATCTGTATGCAGCACCAGAACAATTAGATGGGCAGTGTAATCCTAAGGTAATTATTGATTTCTTGCTTCTTTATACTTTACAAAGTACAAATTTTATGCACATAATAGACTAAAATTCATGGTAGTCTTATACATTGCATGATAAAAACAAAAGCAATTGTATTTTCCTTATGTTCAGGTTCTATCAATCCATGTATATTATGCAAATATTACTTCTATTAGATAATAGGCACTGCATTATGATAATTAAAATTGTTGTTAATTTCAGCAAGTGCTAAGTTTTAATGTGTTAATAAAATATTACAATATTATATTTCAGAGTGACATGTACTCTCTTGGTATAATACTTTTAGAGATGGTGGAACCATTTAGCACAGATATGGAGCGTGTTAAAACAATAACAGATCTGCGGAAAGGGCAAATACCGGCTCATCTCACTGCCAACTATCCTAAAATAGCACACATTATTGGTAAACTGGTACAAAGGAAACCAAGTAAGCGTCTGGACACAAACCAACTGCTAGAAGAACTTAGGAATTTGTCAGAAAATAAAGATGAGAAAATCAAGTCATTAAAAGAAGAGTTAGCTGCAAAGGATGACGAGATTGCCAAATTGAAGATGATGCTTGCAAAGTTAAATTACCCTTCATAATATAAGATGTACCTGATTTTTTTATAATTATGAAACATGAAATTTTAAGTTTTCAGTTTAAAAGTTTTTAATAAGTTTCTTACAAAGGTGCTGAATCTAACAAAAGAACCTAGGATGAATAAAAATTTTCTGAATATTTTGGCACATTTTTGGTTTGTTTTTTTCCTAAAGATTTGTTTAACCTGAGAAATTATAAATCTAAGCACTTGTGGACATATTGTATTTGACAATCATTTTTCCTAATGCAATAGGCTTCTTTAATGATTAAATAAGATTTTCCTCTTTATAACTGTTGTTACACTGACAATTAAAATTGTTCTGTTTGTTACCCTTCGACTGTAATGTTTGTCCATGTGGGATCATAGGTTATATGTATGGCCAATCTGCTTAACTAACACTAAAATAGCATAGAACAATATTGAGTAAGTACTACTAAATTACTATACAAATTAATCTAAATATTGAGGGCTAATTTTAAAAGTAAAATAATCATATTCTTCTATATTATAAGAAATATTGTCTTGCCTGAAATGACGTGTGTGGTGAATAAAATTGATTTTCAAGTGTGATTAATTAAATAAATATTTTAGGTAAATAAGACTTTTATTCAAACAAATCATATGATTAAGAGATGTATTTACACAAATGCTACATACATAAATTATTTACTTAATTTATAAATATTTACAGTCTTAATATAAATGATCCATATATGCAGATTGACAAAATTTTAAAATTATCTTCATTTGACCAAAATTTGTATATCAAAGATGAAGATCTTATTCATAAGATCAAATAAGGTAATTAACGACAACCGCAGTTTCGAAATTTAATAAAAGTTAGCATCCAAACTAAAAAGCGGCTTTTGGGTCGGTTATAGATAATGTCTATGAGTATCTTATTCTATGTCTATTTAATCTATTGTTTTCTTAACTAATTTGGCGGGTTCTAAAGTAATGTATCAACTGCATGAATAACTCCGTTTGTTGCAGGAATATTGTGTGTAATAACTTGAGCGTTGTTCACTTTTATTCGACCTGAAAAATGAAACAAATTATTAATTTAATATATATGAGTAGTGACAAAATGTAGACGTTACTTTTTAATACTTATCATGTTGGTTCTACTAAATACCAAACATAACCAATGACACGTTTCTCTTCTTTTTATTCTACGAAAACAGTAGATATGTTGGCTAAATTTGTATTGCTCTGAAACTATAATTAGTTTCGTTCAGTAGATAATGCGTTTATTTTCAGTATCAAGTTAAGTACCTCAAACAATAAGAAAGTTGTATGCAACAATTTAAATACCGGAGTTCTTTTGAAGTGTGAGCGGCTTAGCATCCTCCATGGAGTTCCGTAGCTGGTAATACCGCATGCCTGCGCTGTACAGCGTGCCCGGTAGTACATGTCTTGCGACCAAAGCGCGTGCGGCAGCTTTTTCAGAATACCGCGATAACTCGCTTGGCGCTAATTTCGCAAATGCCGTGTCTGTCGGCGCGAAAACTGTATACGTTTTGCTTTCTGTAAAAAAAAAAAAATTGATTTTAAAATATAATTATAGCTACTACTAGGTACTATTATATATTAAAATATGTTACTATCCTCAATTGTGTAGAGCATTAAATAGTAGTTTTATATAATACCTCATTATTATAAGGTTAAGTTCAGTTTTAATACTAAAATTATTATTATCTATAGGGGAAGATCGTTACCCTTCGTACGCGGGGCACATTCATACAGTCAAAATAAAACTTGAACGAAACAAAGTAAGTACAGTCTTGTTTTTCTATGTGTGCATGAGTCGAGGTACCAACTATACATCAACGAAGTTTCGCGAAATTCGAACCGATGAGAGTGATTAGTTATATTTTGTTGTTATTCCGTTAGTGGGGTACTTTCGGACAGCACTAGATGGAGCACATTTGAACGAATTGTACAACTAAATTTGTATGAAAATATTTTGTCGACACGAACTGTTATTTTCATACAAATTAAGTTTTCGACTTGCTACATACACTACTGCTTAGGCATCTTGACTAAACCCTCTGGTAGGTAGGAAAGATTGTGTTAGTGTGATAATTGCTAATATTTGCATTAACTTTGTCCTGTGTTGCTATCATTGCTATCGTCGATGTAAATATATATTAATACCTATTTTTATTATCTTTATTAAGGTTGATTTTGATGCTTGTGAACCAGATGCTTTGAATAATTTACCAATCCATCAAATAGTAGTTCCTTCGAAGTCAGTTTTGACACCAGATTTGATTTTATTTCTGTTTAATAGAAGTTAAATCTTTATTTTTGTGTTTAATTTCATTGCTAATAAATGAATTTTGATTTATATGTGTCGTTTTAATCGCACGTACGGAACTACCCCACAGCGTACGAATGTACCCCCAACACTGTACGAAGGTGCCCCGTTGATGGGGCAGATTCGTACGTATTCCAGATTTAGTTTAAATCATAATTGTGGTTGAAACATCAGATGAAATCATTTGTCATTTTTTAATATGAATCTCAGATAGTTAAACTATAAATTTAAGCTATCAGATGATTGATTCATGGAAAAAGAAAAAAAGAAAATGTGAAAACCGTACGAAGGGTCCCGACCTTCCCCTATATCTACTGTAAATTCTTATTTAGTAGGTTCAAATTAAACCTCAAAAAGACAATATCACTATACTTTATGTAAAGTAAGAGAATTACATATTAATGTTATTCCTAGGTAGTGTGTAAAGTGGTTATGGTATAATACAAAATTCTAAGGTTCTAGAAAGATTCCAAATCATGACATTAAATCAATATTTGCCTGAAACTGAACCTAACTACTTTCGTAGGGTAACTAACGGAACCGAGAGGCTTAACAGAAGTCAAGTGTCGCTTTATTACCCGCTAAAGTATCCGCAAAGCCACTGGCGAAGATGGCCTTCAAAAATGTAGTGAATCTTCTATCTCGGTCTGCTTGCAGAGTCTGTACTAAATCGCCCACTGGCAGAGGAAACATGACTCGGTCGACTGCGTGAGCGATTCCCTGAAAGTACAAGCATATACGATTTTAAAGTCGTAATTTTTGGGCCGCATGGAATTCTTAATCGAGTGTACATTTTGAACGGGTACCACTCCCACGTATTAAGCGTATTTTTAATATAATTCATCCTACCTGTGGTATATGAATATCTCTCTTGTCATCAATTACTCGGGCTCCATTGATGGTGGTGACCTTAACCTCGTTCCATTCAACATCATGCATGTCATACTGATTAACTCGTAGTTGTGTACCAGCTAAGGAGACACCGGTCATCTCATCCTGTAACGAGGCTATATCGAATGCACCTGGGATTACGTGATGGAGTAATAACTGGAAAAGAAAACAAAAAAAAATGAAGTATTATCTATCTCGTAAAAAGCAGCAACTTGTCATTTTTATATGTTTCATCAAAATTTCTAACGATAAAATTAATGAAAAATAAAAATACTAACACCACTCAACAGACGAGGATTGTCACGGAACTTCTCTTCTGCTCTGTCTGGTCCTCCAAGTTGTACTAGCAGCGTCCTGAACGCCTTATCAGTTGGAGCGAAAATAGTGTAAGGCCCAGTCTCATTCAAAATAGCATCTAATCCAGACTGCTTCAAATATTTGGCTGTTGCGAATAGACCATTTTCCTTAAGAATATCTATGAGACCTGGGCTAGACGCCGAAGCGAAAATATTTTGAGTTGGCTCCTCATAAGTTGGTGCCAGCGTAGAAGACCCTATTACAACTACGTCTTGAGGTGTTGATCTATATACTGGCGTTGTATTCAATATTGTTGTACTTGGGAATGGGCTTCTTTGAGTCTGTTTCTGACTTCTAATTGTATAAGTTGGCGTAGAGGTTTTTATGATGAAGCGTTCTGTTGTTGGACGGCCTGTCGAAGATTGAAACGTTTGAGATTCTCGTGGAGTATATGTATCTCTAATAGCATCTTTTTGTGTGAATGTTTCTCTTTGTGTCAATGGTTCTTTTGTTGGATCTCTTTGAGAATATGTCTCTCTTTCATTCTGGGTGTATGATTCTCTTGAATTCTCACGTTGCGTGTAACTTTCCCTAGGCGATTCACGTTGGGTGTACGATTCTCTTGTTGGTTCTCGCTCAGTATAAATCTCGTTGTGTGGTGCCTTCTGAGTGTACAATTCTCTTATTGACTCTCTCGGTGTAAACGTTTCTCGTGTTGGTTCTCTTTGACTATACGTCTCTCTTGTTGTTTCTCTTTGACTATACGTCTCTCTTGGCAAGTCTCTTTGGGTATAAGATTCTCTTTCTCTGGGTGTATATGATTCTCTTTGTGATTCTCTTGGTGTGTAGGTTTCTCTGTATGATTTTTGTGTAGTCCTAGCAGGTGCAATGGAATTCCTATGTATCGGGGCAGGAGTAGTTTGTACAGGGTTCGTAAGTCCCGAAGAAGCATAACTTGAAGTTGTCACAAAACTGGTGTATGTTGAAGGATGATGTGATGATTCCGCTATGTAGTCTATATTAGTTGTTGTAGGGTTTTCTGTTGTTGACGAAAACAATGCATTTGATATTTTAGTAGGTCCTGGGAGAGAAATTTCACCTTTTCGAATCCTGTTCAAAATTTCCTCTACCTCAGGTCCTTCTTCTGTCTGTTGTCCATTCGCTTTTACCCCCTTAACCTTGTAGGAACCATCATCCTGCTCTTCTAGAAATACAAATGTAACCTTCTTTTTGTTTGGAAGGGTATTTGATGCTGACACTTCTTCCAATTTGCCATTATCACCTTGTTTTACGAGTTCAAAATTAGCACCTGGTGGCAAAACACCCTTTGTTAAATCGTCAAATGATACATGACTTTCTTTCTGCGTTTCTTGTGTGGCGGCTACTAACTTTCCCAAATCCGGACTATCAGCAGATATTGCACCTTTGGGGATTAAATTAGGGTTATTTGTTCTTATAACTTCGTATTTTTGACCATTTAGCGATATCTCACGAGAAGTGAAATTTTTCTCGCTAAAATCTTCAGGATTTTCTGCTAAAGCTACTTTAAGTTGTTTTAAAATATCCGGTTTTTGTAATAGAGCAACACTCTTGGCTCGAAGGTTGTCATCGAATCCTTTTGTTTCACTTTCCTCTAGCAGGCTCTTTATGTCATTGTAGAGTTTTTGTTTATTTCTGTCCTGTGGTGGAGTGCGAGATCGGGCAGTTGGTCTGGTCCTAATAAACCTAGGCCGTTGTGTTGTTGTTGTGGTTGTTGTAGTGCTGGTAGTTGTTGTTGGATGTTGTTGCTCATAAAGGTCAAGTGCTTTTTTGAATAAATCTGTTTCATGCGGTAAAATTGGTCGTCGTTTTTCCTGACCTCTTCTAAAACTGTCTTCGTAGTTTTCAGTTGTAGTATATGTTGGTAATGATTTAGTAGCTTGTCTACTCAAGAATTCGTCATGAAGCTTTTCAACTTTCTCCTGTTGTTTTTGTTGTTGTTTCTGCACGAATTCCTGGTGTTTTTGAATAATTCGTTGTCTTTCCTGTAGTTCCTTAAGCTTTTCTAAGTTCTCTTTAGATTGTTGTTCATAATATTGTTGGAAATCGGATGGCTGAGGGTTTGTAAATATTGAACCTTGATTATTTGATTGGCTGATTTGTTGCGAAGCTTGGAACGGCACTTGCCCATTTTGGTTATGGTTTTGAGGTGCTAAATTTGGTGCAGCTTGGATCGTAATAGGGTTAGGAGCATTAAAGCTTTGCTGACTTTGTGCTGTTTGTAAAGTTGGTAGAAAAGCAGCTTGCGTTGGTCTTTGTTGTGTAAGAGATAGAGGAGATGGAATGTTTGGATTATGATTAAATATTGGTGGATTTTGAGCTAATGGAAGGCTGTTTTGGAATGTTGGAATCGTAGGTGCTTGTTGTATGTTTTGACTTTGTTGAAAATTTTGAGATCCTACATTTTGATGAAAATTGTTGAGTTGAGGATTCGCATTTGCTTGTTGATTGAATTGAAAGTTGTTGCTGTTTTGAATAGGGATGGCGTTATTTGGGATATTTTGTGCTGGAAGAAGACTGTTAAACTGAGGCACATATGGTTGTTGATTTAGTATTGGTTGCGGGAAAGGAAGTTGTGGGGCATTGTTGATGACTGCTGGCTGCTGCTGGAAGTTTTGTAACGGAGAGTTCAGCCCAAATCTTGTTTGATGCTCGTTAAAACCAGGATGTCCCAGGTTTGTTGGTCTGTTTCGGTCGAAATCGTTTTCTATCTGGAATGAGAAAGTTAAAATTAGAGAATAAGAATATAAATGGTACTTAATTAATCTAAAGATAAATTATAAATAAATTTTACAATAATAATCAACCATCTCTACATTAATGAAAAGAATATACGGTTTCTAAATTAAGTAGACTTCTAAGATCATTCTTTCCTTATCTTTATATTCAGATTTACTATTTTTCCTCTCACCAGTGTAAATAAGTGTATATAAAAAATTATAAGCAATGGATGCAACGGGCGGTCTTATTTATTTATTCTGTTAAGCCTTTGTCGAATGTACATAAAAGACAATTATAACTGGTGTATCAGTTACTATTAAGTCAGATTTAATAAACATATATATATAATAGCATACATTCCTGTCATTTGTTACAATATATTATGTGTCATGGACCAGGCACCCTAAATTTAGTAAACCGTCGCCCGTGTGCAACCAGCACCTGTGTGCAGTCCGCCATTTAAGGATGTGGTACGCTGTTTAAAGGCCTCTGTGATTTAAATATGTGTTTATCCCTTTCCACACGAACCAACTCAAGTGAGAAACAGATAGTGTATAATTACTTAAAAAAACAATTCATAACTGCGCAATTGCAATTGAGTGTAGCCGATAGGCGACAACTAACTCCAAAATACCCAAACAAAAGTAGAACAAAATTATAATATTTATTGTTCCGTGTTCTGAGCAGTTTCACGACATCTCGCTGCGCCTGCGTGACGCATCAGTAGCACGAAAGTGCATTCTTTAGCATACGTTATAAAGATTTGTTCTTCTATAGATAGTTGAATGATTCTCTTATGAAGATTATATTAATCTCATAATTTATAAACAACACGTTTTTGTTATGATTATTTATTTAATGATAAAGGTTTTTGTGTAAAGGATAGCCTTGTCTTTCAGAATGATATATTTTATCGCAATTTTGGCTGAAACATATTGGTCGGTTAATCTAAGTACTTTGTTTTGTTGGTTGAAACTAGTTACCGTTGCCGTGGCTAAGATATGCACGACGTTCATAGGTGTTTAATAAGTTACACGGATTGAATGTTTCGTGACAAATTAGATAAATTAGAGAAATTAGATTTGGGGTCGAGAACTTTGACGGCTGTTGAATAAAAAGTGCAATGAAACAGACTGAGAAACTTAGTGCTTTAACTCATATTAGATAATACTAAACAAACTTATGATATAAAGCATAATCAAGTATTAAAAATAGTATCCGTAAAACATATGCGGCTGAGCATTTACATTTATGATTATCACTTATTATACGAAATGCAAGCAAGCAAGAAGAACTGTGCTAACAAATGAAACTTTACTGCTATTTAGTAACACTGTTGTCTTTGCTGCTAAGAAAAACAAAAGAAGATAAATCTAGGCAACATTATGTCATGTCCGCAACCGCTTTTGGTAACATCTTTGCATAACGAGAGAGTGGTAAAAGGCAACCGGTTATAAATCAGTATAGATCTTGCAATTCGAAACAGATTCGAGTAAACCAGTTTAAAATATCGACCAAATGTAAAATATATATACGTTTACTATCATCTGTGTATGAGAGCAATTTGCTTTTCAAGTACATATTTATCATACACAGATCTGATTTTATTAAATAGCCAAAAACTATTTCACAAAACAATTAAAACAACGAAATAAAAAAAATTGCAGAGAGTTTATAGCTAGTTCTTCTCTTACGTTCTACGCCCTTGTTTTGAGAACTGGCAGTAAATGTAAATTTAGTAGCATTTCATTTATATTTCTTTTTTGACGTTCATAAGTGTACATTGTGTTACCTATATGAATAAATGTTTTTGAATTTTTTTTGAATGAATATTTAGCAGTATGGAGCCTACACATCAAGTTTGAGAAGGATGCGAGGTTCAAACCACTTTCACGCACTTTCGATTTCGTTTGGACGTCATAACTCGATTTGGGAAAGGTCACGAGTTCGTTGTTCCCCTTGCAAGGTGCAGTTAGGTAACATTCATATAACTTAATTGTCAGGATCCAACTAAATGGTAAAATATAATTAAACCAAAGATCATAATAACGCTTCGTTAAAATATCTCGCGTATTGTTAACTAGACTCGACTGAAGTAAGTTTAGTTTACAAACACTATATTAGACAAAGGCTGTGAGAATGTTTCTAAATAAAATGTACTCGTACATTATACTTGGTAAAGTTTTTATTTTTCTTCTAAATTCTACGTAACTATGACACATTAGTGATTCCACGTCCTTCCTACCTTCGGTTCTTGGCAATATTTGTTTTTTTGGCAAAGAAGAAAAATCTTCACAATAAAATAACAATGTAATATTCAAATAAAAGTGTATCTTTAGCCAATACATTTTGACTTTATGCACCATCATTAGTAATTACTCTTTAAATGAACACAAAAAGTTAATAAACGTAATTAAATAATCGAATAATAAAAACTACTCCATCCTGACCTTTGACAATTGTATAAACTTTCGTTTTCTAGAAGTGAGTGTCGTAACAGCGAGAGTTTAAATGATGTGTTAAAACGTGAAGTGACTATCGTATGGAGTTTCCACAAAGCAAGAAAGTCCACTTTCATCTTTACACATACGTCTTAAGAAATATTTTTAGGTTTTCTTTTACCAATCGAATGACTATGATAAACTATTTGCATTTTATATACACACAAAGATATTGGAAAAGGTAGACTTATATCGTATTTCATATTTTTATGGTAATTAGGTAATCTAGATAAACCTAAGTTTTCTATAAATAGATCAGAAAAGCCATTATTTAGAACCCGAATTATTTGATAGTTAAATATTATTTCAAAAATCTACTTAACGATGCATTAAGTATACGCAAATATAATCAAAGATCACTAACCAATGTCTTCATTAATAGTCAATTATAATTTACAAGTTTTGACACGCACAGTATTAATGATTTATATAAATAAATCACACTACACTTTTATTTTTATATGCACGGTATCTCGATATCGGATAGACTATTGGTAAGCGCGGTTACCCTAAGGCCATATGCACGAATTCTATTTTTATTTTCATTTTATTTACAAAAGCTTACCAACGCTCGGCACACTGATACATTGAAAAAATAATACAAGAACTGGCAAACATAACAAATATGAGAAGAAAAAAATTACATCGGTTCATAAATTATAAAAGCTAAAGAAAAATTGATTTCAAAGTGTGTGCGGAGTAAAAAAAAAGGAAGAAACCTAGCTTCGCAAAACGCGTTGTTCTGACAGGATAGACAAATGTGATGCCTGGTGATCTAGAGGGTACACGATACTTAAATGTTGTTAATTTTTATACTATTAATGTCACTAATGAGAGTACAGTGACGAAAAAAATATAGAAGTGTGTAGGCACACAATAATCCCACATGAACGAAATAGCGATTAAAATGTACCCGTTATATGCCCCATTCTGTAGTATGGGATGTATCGAACTCCTTTGTAACGTTTTAATCGTTTGTATAAAGATATTCAAAAGCTTGGTAGTTGTAACATATCTTTTTAACAGATCCTTAATTTATTCGCGTAATTATATTTTATTATAATTATTTCCTAAATTGTCTTATATCTAATATCCATCGATATTAAAAATTTCTGCCCATACATAATATATAGGTACATGTATACATATATGTAATATATACATAATGTAAGAGCGCGTTGAACTCTTATGAATAGAAAAGCGATTTCTGATGATTTTAATACCTCTCACCTAACTCATAAACTATTCGATGCCAAATATATATAAAATTATCAATATTTTTTTACTATTATTATAAAACATAAGAGTTTGTTTGTTTAAATAATACACGATTAGCAATTATGTTTTTTATAAACATAATATTATTCAAACAAATACAAATATTATCATAAGTATATAATTTAAAACAAAATTGCCATTATAACATATTGATAATGTTTGATTTTAAAGACTATCTTAGATTGTTTTATTAAAATATAAAGGTAAGAAATAATGATCACGAATGACTCACACATTTTTACAGTTATCGACTTATTTGGTTAAAAACGTTTCTTTGTATGATCTGTAGTCCATATATAAAATATATCACTCAGAATTCCATTTAAGTATTTGTTTGGTTATGTTTTAAACGCTGTAATGATCACCGTTTTATTTGCAGCCTCCGTAACAATATTACGTAAGGGGTGAACCCTAAACCGCAAATCGCGGAAAGCATTACGCAACGGCGGGTGTCGCTTAACATTATACAACCGATGTATGCGGATACGTTTTTCTTAGTCTTAATATGTGCTTACTGTGAATAATTTGATTTTATATAGAGTGAAACATTAAATAAATATTAAAAGAATTGCTTTGACTTAAGTTGCGCAAGTTGGCCATACGTAAATTGAATTGAGTAATTATTTTCTAACATAATAATTCTTGTAATTTTTTAAGTCACTTTAAGAATCATCTAATGCATGAACGGGACCATGCTTAACACTAAACCTCGAATCTGATTCAAACAAACACATTGAACTTGAAATATTCACACATAATTTGACCGTCTGTCACGCAATACCAAATGTGTAACATAGAAAATAAGAGAATAAATAAAAATCGTAACACGCAGCATCAAGTTAAACTGCTTTCACCTCTATATTAATTGTGAAATTAAGTTAGCTGATTATAACTTACGATATAAATAATGTTATTTGTACCTAGAAATATTTTGATTTAGACTAAACTTCGTCTTTGCAAATCTTGTTTAAACATAGGCAGTTAAACGATTGAATCCGTGGGAAAAAGATGTACATCTTCAATACCAGAAGTCGAATGGTTTCCGCTTGTATATTTCTTGCTCTACGCAATAATACTTTCGATAATTATCCCTTTTATTGGGTCACCTTTAATTTATTTAAACGTACGCGAAACACGGGCATATATTCTTTAATTCAAAATAAATCTTAATGTGCTTTTTCTATCCTATTGAATGCTTTACAAATATATATATATTAGCTTAACGTCAGTAACATTAGTAGGAACTAGAAATACTAGTTTATTCAGGGAAATTGAAAATACCATTCAATTAAATCTATACATAAATCAATTTTTAAAACATGAAACTTGCATGACAATAGGTTAATTGGTTTTACATTTCCGGAATTACATGACATTTTAAAATTAATAAGTGTCAGTTACATTGTCGTACTTTGCGTGAATTCTTTGCGATGTAGTTTACTTTCAAACGCATTGTTAGTAAAGAGAAAAATGTTAATAATAATAATTATCTAAAATAAATAAAATTAATGTCTTTTTATTTGGCATCTTATTTAAATTGTTAAATAAACCTAATACTAATAATGAAACTACTTCTGGTATTTTGGGATTTTTTAATTTTGGCGATGTTTGAAGACCGTCTTTCCTCGTTTTAGGCTGTTGTGTGTTAAAACCCTGCTTACTAAGCCGAAATGAAAAAAAAGATGCTGTATTTTTCCTAATTACGAGTTGTATTCCAAATGCTATACTATTCAATATATTGTATTAAACTTGAACGAATATATAGTCTATAGACGCATAGTCTGCACACGTGTATATATCCTAATAAAGCGTTTTAGTAAGTACAAAAAAAACAATTTACATCAATGTTTCATCTCGTACGAGGAATAATCAATGCATAATTATCTAGATAGGGAGCGCGGGGCTTGTTGTTACAGGGGTAAATAGTAACAGACCTTTTTCAATAGGAATTTGAATTTTATTCACGTTTTTTTTTACCTAATCTTCAACTTATAACGTGCCACGCCACTTTACCACAGCCAGGGTCCTGCCAGGCGGCTCAGTGAGTGGGTGTGTGCAAACGCTTTATTGTTGACAGGAAACCTATAATTTTACTAACGTAAATTTTTGGTTAGTTTTACTATTTTCGTAACTTTGAAGTTTTATGTATTTTATTTTATGCTAAAATATAACTATTTATGATGTTGTATAACAGTTTTCAATATTACTAAGTTAATTTAATAGTTATCGTGATAAATATTAAGAACTATATCAAGGGGCTAGTTGTAACAAAACCTCGGGGTTTGTTGTAACATGTTACAATTTGCCCCCAGATTGCTGTAAGTTACTGACGGCCGATGTTCAGTTTTCCCCGGCTTAAATACTCGGAAATGTTCATTCGCGGTGGACCTGAAGATTGCATTGGAGCTGGCAATTCCTCAGGGTGGAGGATGACTGATAAAGAATTTTTGATTTTTGTAGATCACTTTATCAAACACGCGAAACCTACCAAGAAAGAGCCAGTTCTGTTACTGCTCGATAATCATGGCTCACATGTGAATGTTGTCTCTCAGTTGTGAGTAGTGTCAGCTCAGTTGTCGAAAAAGCCAAAGAAAACAATATTATCATGTTATAGTTTTCCTCCCATTGCTCCCACAATTTTCAACCTATGTATGTAGGAGTCTACGGCCCTTTTAAAAACTACGTGAACAGAGCACAGACTGCATGGATGTATAATAATCCAGGAAAAACGATGACAATTTATGACATCCCAAGTGTAGTGAAGGAGTCATTTTCAGTAGACTTAAAGCTTCTGGTATTTTGCCTTTGAATGTTGATATTTTCCAAGATAGTGACTTTGCGCTCTCTTATGTTACTGATCATCCAGAGCCTACAGAACAATCAGAAAATGTTCTAAATGAAAGTGAGAATTTATCGTTGAGTCTAAAACATCCAGAACTATTAGATTCTGCTCCTGAAGTGGATATCAGCACAATATAAATTATACGCCACATTGAAACTGCGAACAAACTAACTCCAAGTTGCTCTGGTCAAAATCAATTTTTCCCATCAAAAGTTAGACCATTACCAAAGGCGCCACCACGAAAAACAAATATAAATTGCAGACGCAAAAGGAAGTCTGCTGTTCTGACTGATACGTCTGAAAAAGAAGCTTTGAGAGTAGAATATGAAGAAAAGATGAAGAAAATGCAAAAAGAAGATGATAAAGAAAAGTGAAAGGGGAAGGAAAAGTTAACAAATCTGCGATGGTAAGATGTAAGGTAGAACTAAGAGATAAAATGATCCAAGATGTGAAAAAAATTAAACGATTGAAGGTGTATTTTTGTTGTTACAACTAGCCCCAACCACGGGGTAAGTTGTAAACTTCTCTTTTGACAAAAAATAATTGTGAGATAGTTACCTGTAGATTTGATAATATTTCGATTCGACTTCATAGATAAATAGTAAGGTATCGATCAAAGTTTATTTAGTAGTAATTTAGCCAATATTCTTCATGATATTCAATTATTTGTTAAAATTGTTACAACTAGCCCCCGCTCCCCTACTTAATAACATCTTCCGCGCTTGGCGGTGCGTTTAAAATGCAAATAAGTGGAAGAATATTAAGAAATTTTTTGTTCAGTGAGTGAGACGACTTATAATTTAATTTAATGAAATATTTTCAATTTATACTTATAAATTTTACTTTAATACATTCAAAACAATCGCATGTTCCTCGGAAAGTAGATAAAGCGTTCTGAAAGTGGCGTAATACTACTAGCAATAATTTTTTTTCTTTAAATAGACAAAAATATCTTCAATTTATAATCTATATTGAATTGATAGTTTACCCTTGGTCCAGTGATGGCAGCGACCAATCGCGCCAAAAGGAGAAACTGGCATACGCTTCTCATGTTGCACTCACACAACAAATATCATCACACCTCAGTCCACTGACACAAGATGGCCACTGAATCCAATTCACGTCACTAAATTCCAAATTCAAAAATTTGAAAAAGTATAGACGACGTTTTTTTTCACGCAACCGGCACGCTTCGTTCGATGACAGTAATGGAGAGGCCGTGCGCTGCTGTGTTTTACCACTCCTACTCTTCATCTCCCTACTCGACATTTCGAAAGGATTGAAACGAGAATCATTTCAACTGTAGGATGATAATTGAATGTTGCTTAAAACAATTAAATTAACTGTTATTCGCTTGATGAATTGTCTATAAAGATCTATCTTGTTTATGGATCTTTATTGATGAAAATATTGACTAGTTTTTGCAATCGCCATGAACATTTTCTAAGTGAAATATTCTGCTTTTTTATCGCAGCAATTGTCTTATAGACTTACATATTGTCATGTAACTATAATAAGTAATTATCAAGTACATTTCTTGCGATAGTGATTATTTTATTTTCTATTAACAAAGATTTAATTTAATAATTTTTCACGCCGAAACATTTATCAGTCATGGCATAGCATTGATCAATTTTCGCAAGTGTTTCATTCAAACTAAAGGAAATCATGGTAAAAATCATTAATCAGATGAAATCTTTTGTACCGCAAGAATACAATAGATAGACATTCAAATGAAATGCAACACAATGCCTAATTGGAGTGAAAAGTTACACCATTTAAAGTATAATAAGTTTTGCAATTTTTTCAAGATATACATCTTAGTTGTTCTTGCTTTTTAGGTGTGAATGACAGTTAAGTTGTTCCTAATGCACTGTATTGTTCAAAAATTGCAAGCAAATATTATAACGATTTATACCGCTACCCCAATTATTGATTCTATATAAGTATGTAAAATTTTCTCTTTCACTGATAGTTTTTATGCCATCAAAATGTGAACAATATTTTTGAGTTGGAAATTAATTCCAGGACCTTATATATATTGTTCTTTTTTATAGAACAAGGAGCAAACGGGCAAGAGTCTCACCTAATATTAATTGATGTGCTCATGGACAGTGCAACAAGTCACACAACACAAGTGCCTTGTCGATCTTAAAAGACGACCTTTACTTGTACGTAAGTACGTACGTACGTAGAGAGTACCTAAAGAAATAGTCATGATAAACCGATCATCAATGGAGTTAAGAACCTAAGACAATTTGTTGATGAACTAGAACAAATCAATGACGGCCAATGATATTTCAAAATAAACTTTTTTGTTATTTTTTAAATGCCTTCTTGTTACCAAATCAAAATAGATTTATATCGCATCGCTAGACGTGAATAAATCGAGTCTGAACACCTATTGTCATTGTGGTCACAATTTCTATTATTTTATTAAGAAATTCTATTATTAAATTACGTAAATTAAATTAGATTATTGGCTACAATAGGAATCGAATTACATCATTATTAAACCTGTAATATCGCAACCAGACAACTTGGATAACGCGTAACTATTATGCGGCTGAACCCTTAGTAATTAATACTAATAGTATAGTAGGTACATTGTACGTGACGCTAATTACAAACAGAATATACAATTGTACATATTACATAATGTACAATTGTATATTCTATTTTCATTTGCGTTGAGGGTTTCTTAAATTAGCTGATAGAATCAGCCACATCGAATTGATTCCGGAACTAATGTCTATTGACAAACGGTCAATCGAGACGAAATCGAACTTTAACGTGGCGTAATTAGTCTTAATATTTCTCAGTATACTTTGGAAATTGGAAGCCGGGGTCAAGTTTACTGATACATTATTTGTTGAGACTGTACTTTAAACTGTTTTTGTTAAGACAAAATATATAGAAAATTATTTGAGTTGATAAAATAATCGTTAAATTTATCTTAGATTTTTTTTACTACTATTCCGACAACGTTAAATCTTCTTCGATCTTCTTTTTTTATGTAATAGGAGGCAGGGCAGGAGGCTCACCAGATGTTAAGTAATACGACCGCCCATGGATGGGCTTAACTCACATTGGTAGAAGGCTCGGAAGTGCGTTGTTGCTTTTTAAGACTTGGTACGCTCTTTTCTTGAAGGATTCTAGTCGAATTGGTTTGGAAATATTTCAGTGGGCAGGTGGTTCCACATAGTGGTGGTGCGCTGCAAAACTGCCTTAAGAAACGCTCAGTTGTGGAAAAATTCTATCTTCTATTTCTTCTTTAATTAACGCAAAGTTGAATCGCATTTAATAAATCTATCTATCTATAATTATATATATAATCTATTACATTTTGAAAAGGTCCACTATTTCTTGGGGTACATAACTTGAACCGCTTAGATTAAATGCCTTATTCTAATTTTAAATTTTATTATTTTTTAAGAGTAATGTCTATCATCAAATGACTGGTATATAAAACAAATAATTTCCCAATTTCAAAACTAATCTATTGCCTAAAACTTTTGTAAGGTTAGTTTTAGTGTTATGTTAAATATTAACATCCGTAACACGTAGGTATCTGTCATAAAAGTCAATGATCGCTTTCGATTTTTACGTAAACCAGCCATTATTATACAGTCTAGACTATGTATATGCAAATAAGTGTAATGTGGTCAACGTGTATAAAATTACAAAATAATTTACATCATTTTGAAAAGTTAGCAGAAACCAAGAACTTATTTCCTCAGGTTTAGTTAAAACAGAATTGAGTTCATGATCAGTGAAATCTTAGGATTCGAATTAATAGACCTTCTGAGCTAAGAATTTGCTGAGTGTAAAGCCTCTTGCTTTCAGACAAATTCTTATAACGTTAGAAAACGCTGCTACGTGGAGTCTCGGATTGTTCGATAAAACTAGTCCAATTTTACCCCAAAAAGCCACAAGTTAGCGCCTTTTCCGCTAAAAAACACCTATAGTCGCTACTCCTCTATTCGAAGACCCTCTCTTTAAAAGCACAGACGTGGTCAACGCCCAGTAGGGCGTTGACATATCGAACGACGTTCAGTTTCGCGGTAATATGGAAGTAATGGCTAAATAAGTCTCAAAGACGCTTGGTGTGTTCAGCAGGGCGAGACGATACTTCACTCCGGGCCATCGCTTGCAACGGTAAAAAGCGCAAATTCGACCCCTCATGGAGTCCAGTTGTAACCTTTGGGCTCCTTCCTCTCCCCCTTCCCCTTTGTATTCGACAAAGAACGGTTCGTATTTTGGCTTGACCCCTTGGCTCTGCTTAGAGATGTGGTTTCTCTGCATCTTTTACCATATTTGCCATGCAAGTCTCCTTGGTAAATGTGGTGAAAGATGCTTCAGAAGAGTTATTCGGATTAACTCAGCTACAGCCTACAGGTAAGCTGAGTTTCATCATCAGACGTCGAGGCAGAATACGAATTTTTACCCGTATCACCTCGACGTCCGTCGTTCCGCAACTGAGCGTTAATATTTAAGGCAGTTTTTACCGCGCACCACCACTTTGTGAAATCAAGTATATTGCTATTAGAGGTGGTGGTATTGTTTTTGGTAATAAGAAAATATAAAGTCAGGTTATGTTAATTTTAACGATATGGCCGAACGTAATTAACGATATGTCGTTAAACATTAATATAATATTATGTCGCCTTATGTAATAGAACCACTCCATTTAATTGCCAAACATTTAATGAAATAATGATTTTATATCCAGCAAATCCGCGTTCGTACCACTTGCAACTTCTAAAAAATGGCCACGTCTGAAGGTTCCGAAAATTACAATTGCCATCTTAAGCGCCTTCATCAGTCAAATTTGGTCCTAAGATCAATAACAAAAGCCCATGTCACTTACACGTGAAATATGTAAAATAAGCTTTTTTGTAATAAGATGACTACTAATGTTAAAAAGTTACTATTTCGCAAGCGAAGAAATTAAATCGCCTTTGCAACTTTTTAATATTCTCTATGCTTGATACTGTCATACATATTAGTATAAGATCCCGATATACAACGACCTTCACCGAGATGCTTATTTAATGAAACGTATTTTATATTTAATTTAATATGTCAATAAATATAATCTATATGGGTTGCCTAGCAAATTTCAGTCCAGAGTATGTTTAATTAATATTTAAAAAAAAATCTTTTTTTTATAATTTGAATGTAGTAAATTTTTTAATTTTTTTCAATCAATATTTTTAATCAGGGTAGTATTATATATATATCACTATAACTTTCTTTTTTACTGAAGATGTATAATATATACTTTTGTGTCACATAAAAAATATACACATAAATAATTAATTGATTAAAAACAACCTAACGTTTGCATATTCTATGGGCTTCATACTTTCGATTGGTATAGAATTTATCTAATAATCATACCGGTGAAATGTTTAAAAAAAAAATTTTTTTTTAAATATTAATTAAAATACTCTGGACTGAAATTTGCTAGGCAACCCATATGGATTATATTTATTGACATATTAAATTAAATATAAAATACGTTTCATTAAATAAGCATCTCGGTGAAGGTCGTGTTATATCGGGATCTTAGACCATATGGGTATGTATTACGATCAGAAGGAATTAAAACAAATCTGCTATACTAAAAGTTTCCTTAAATATTATATACAGCATGTATAGAATATTAAAGGAATTAGAAGGTTAGGTTCACACATTATCGCCTAGCCTATACTTTGCTTTTGTGTTAAAGAAACGTTAAGAAAGGCATTTGTGCAGCATTATAAACAACTACAAACCTCAGCAATAGCCTGAATTGGAGCGTGACACGTGGTTCGGTGAGTTATAGCTTCTTTATTAAAGTTTAATTTATGATCTTGAAGAAAAACTTACTAGATACTATACGTCGCTTACGATAGCTTTACAGATGTAAGTAATAATAACATACATGTACAAGTTCAGCAGTAAAAGTAACCTGATGATTAATTTATTTATTCATCTGATCGTAATAAAATCCCCTTGTGTTTAATTGAAAGTTAAAAAATAATTCCACTAGAAATGCGATTCGAT